AATCATTATTAAAATGTTTTTATAATATTTTTAATAATATTGAAATAATGTTTTAAAAACATTTTTAAAAAGCTTATAATATTTTTAATAATATTGAAATAATGTTTTAAAAATATTTTTAAAAGCTTATTTTAAATTGGTATTAAAATATAATAAGAGAGCTACTATTTCCACCATGGCAATTTGCTATTTCCACTATGGTTATACAAGATTTTCTATTTTTAGACAATAATATAAAAAACTCATAACCTTAACACTAACCCTAATCTCTAATTCTAACACTAACCCTAACCTCTAACCCTACTAACCCTAACCCTAAAACTAACTAAGTAAACTTGTAGAGAAGACTTTTCTGGTTCTAATGGTGGCTAAATCATCAAAATTGGCTTGGTGGATCCCAAGATATTTGGGGTTAAAGTAGGGTGTGTAGCATAGAGCTCACTGGCATGCTACCATGGCATGCCTACAAAACCTAAATGGTCTATAGCCATGCCATTTATTATGTTTTAATATAAAAAATTAAAATTCAAAGAAAAATTAAACCAAAGTTCTGAAATATTCTAAAGATACTGCATATTTGGCAAAAGTTGCTATATAGTAAAGTCCAAATTTTACTATATAAATCAGTTATAAGTGCTTAAGTAAATATGTTTAGAAGATCAAAATATATATTCAAAATTTTTATACAAATTGAATTTTTTTGTTAAATGTAAAATTAAAACTTAAATAATAAAAAGTTCTCTAATTTCTATGAAACTTTTAAAGTATATGCAATTTGTTCTCTTGAACAAGTTTACTTAAGCGATTATAATCGATTTACTTAGTAAAATTGGTCTTTGCTATGCAGTGACTATAATTAATTGGGGTAGAGTAGCTTATTTTTGAAAATATATTTGATATGGTATAAAACTGTACATATATAACTGACCAATCAAAATTAGGTATTTTCACGTGATTTGGTGGCATGCCTGGCATGGGTTTTGGCAAATGGCATGCCATCTGGCATGCAAGAATTTTTAGCCATGCCAAATACCCTAGGTTAAAGGCATGAACATAAAAATCTACAAATTCACTGTTACACAAAGTATTATAGTCTATAATACTTATATTCGCACCTTTAACCCAAATAACTTGGGATCTACCAGGCCAATTTTAATGATCTAACCACTATTAGAACCAGAAAAATTTCCTCTACAACTTTATTTAGAGTTAGAAGAAAATGTTTACTTATTAAAAACTTCTTTAATTTTTAAAAAACTAACTTTAGCTTTAATTATTCTAATTTTAACACTAAAGCTAATAAGTAAATATTTCTTTAACTCTAAGTAAAGTTGTATAAGAGATTTTTCTGGTTCTAATGGTGGTTAGATTATTAAAATTGGCCTGGTGGATCCCAAGTTATTTGGGTTAAAGGCGCGAATATAAGTATAATACTTTGTGTAACAGTGAATTTGTAGATCTTTATGTTCGCGCCTTTAACCCCAAATATCTTGGGATCCACCGGGCCGATTTTGATGATCTAACCACCATTAGAACCAGAAAAAAATATAATATTTTGTGTAACCCATGGTGGAAATAGCAAAATACCATGGCCATCCCTATATATATATATTATAATTTATAGTTATTATGTTGGTCTCCATTGGCTCCATTGGCAAATAATTCCCAATGGAGCAATGGAGCAATGCCAATGGAGGTCTTCTCCATTGGGTCCAATGGATAAATGTGCCAACCCTGTCTATAGATGATTCGCACCATTCATACTGTTTTTATAAATTCGGGCACTTTAAAAATTGACAATAACTACCTTATAGCGAAAGCTTATAGTTATTTACATGTTATAGAGTTATAATATATTTACTCGTGTGTTAAATAATTACCTGTTAGGTATAGTTACTCATAGTTAGATATAAACTCAGATGGATACCAATAATGATAAGTAAGAGATAGTCAAATGCTATAGAAACGAAATAGTAATTTGGATGAAATTTATATACATATAGCCAATTTTGATTGGTCAATTTTTACTGCGCCTAAAAATTAAAATTTTCTATTTCAGACTTGGTTATGAGAACCAAAAATGTATGGCCTAAGTATAATATATAGTAAAAAAAAATTTTATTATTATTTACTTAGAATTTTAATTTATTATTATTTACTCAAAATTTAAATTTATTTGATTTTTATAGGGGTCGTTGGGTTCAAGGCGCGATGACGATATGATTTATTTTTTTTCGAAGACAAACTTGGACCATAATACGAAATGTCTACAATTTAGAAATGACATGGTTGTCCTCTTAGCTGAAAATTCTTTTAATGTAGATAAAGATTTTATCAAAGATTACGTAAACTCAGATAGGGATAAAGACAAAGACCTTATGGTTGAGAAATGTGATGTATATTTTGGTTGAAAAACTAAATCTGTACGTAGATGAATTAAATAAGAGAGACTATGCATTGTATCATGTTATACAATCTTATTAAATTATGTAAATTCTTGAAATTTTTCAATATCATAAATAATACTCAAGAATTATTAATATGTATGTATATATTTACATATACATTTTGAAACATGTTTTACAATAGTAATATTTGAATTGTGCTTATTTGACTTGATTATATGCTAAAGAATTCTTGCTATGATTTTAATATTTTTACATTGCTTAGATAATTCGGTTTTTTCATATTTAGAATCATCAAAAATTGATACAGCGTATTAGCTAATTCTTCAGCAGTTTGTCAGTTTGAGATTCTGCGTTCAAGTATTTATTCATCAGATTCAAAAGTAATTGAGGAACTTCGCATCTTAATTTTGGGTCTAAGCCTAGACAAATACGTGTTGCTAGATTTTCGTTGTGTGGAGAAGCATGATATGGAGGATATCCAGTAAAAACTTCTGAAATAATTATCTGAAAGAATAAACATCGGATTTTTTGAATGTATTCTTTTCCATTTGTATACGATACTTCTGGTGCAATATAGGGAAACCACCAAAAAGTGCTTAGAACTTGAATAAACCAAAACAGCATTGTAAAAACCAAACTTATTTTGATTGACTATATTTTCGGAATGAAAGTCTTTATGCTCTAATTTAAAAGCTCAATCTAATTCATCATATTTCTATCTAACATTTTTCGGAGACTTCACTGCTTTGCATACTCCGTGACCATCATGTAGTTGCCGTTTTTGGGACCTTAGTTATTCCATAAATCACAATTGCATGATTTTCAAACTAAGATTAATAGTTGTAAATTAAGATTCGTACTACTTTCTAAAAATTCGCGTTTTATATCTTTAGAGTTATCAAGGTTATTTAGACAAATATTCCTTGAGAACTTCTCTCTTCTGCAGATCAAATCCCTGTAATATATCCGTCAATCCATACTCTTTAAAAACAGTACCAAAAACCTTCTTTAAGATTCCTTAAATTTGCGAATTTGCTAAAGGGGTATCCATTAAATAACGTCTTTAAATTTATATTAAGTTATGCTTGTTAAATTAATTAATCAGTAAGGGATTTCGGAATTAAAGAATTTGGAAATAAAATTGGAAATTTAAAAAAACTTATTTGTGTATCAAAAATTTTGGAATTTGAAAATGAAATGAAATGGGTGTTCCATTTGGCACTGGGCGCGACGAATAATAATTAACTAATATAATTAATTAGTCAATGCCACGAATGATCACATCACCGCGCCAAATGAATGGACCACCTATAATTGACTAAATCCAACTTCCCCAGTCATCTATCGTAAAACGAAATAAAAACTGATGCAACCTTATTTGAAAGAAGTTTGCTATTTATCACCACTGGTGATCATCACCGGTGTTGCTACCTACTAAGTTGGGTTGAGAATAGTAAGTAAAAATGTTCAGAAGAACACCACTGGTGATTTGCAATAATTTTCTATTTGAAAACCTCTTAACGTCATAATATCACATATCCAATTATGAAATATTTCTCAAATCTTAATAAAATATTATACCGTATATCATGAGACAATTATAGAATTATCACGATTTGAATACGTAGCGGATTACTATAAAAATTTGCGTTACTATACTTACCGACTACGTAAGTGATTTAGATAGTGTTATGTTAGTTTTGTAATAGACTTATCGTGTTTTGTATAATGATTTGCTGCGGTTACCGTACTTACGAGCTATGGTTTGTCAAATTATTTTCTAAACTTTTTTAAGTTGCTAATGCATATTGTATTTACAACTCCTTAACTAATTCATAAGCATTCTTGCCCACGTCATTTGGTTTAATTCCTAATAATTCCTTCAATCAGCAATTGACTCAGAATACCTTTTCATCATATAACTAATTTCTCCTCGATGTCCTAATGTTACTGTATTAGCTGTCTCAATTTCTAGCAATATAGTTAATTTTCAAATGCTTTATTATATTTGCCAATAAAAAAAAAAAAATTCTCAATAGCTTAATTCAAATACATTATCTCTTTTTTTTAGTGATTTTGTTAATCCAACACTAAATTAACATACATATTTTCATATCCACCTATAATAAAATAAACCTTTCTTGGTATTCCAACGTTAATGCATTATTTGATTTTTTTCTAATGTCTTCATTTTTGAAACTCTTTGAAAACCTTTAGTAGTGCCGTTAAGAGACGTCATTTGCGTTCGCTGATACTGTATCTTCATTAACATGACAAAAATGGCCAAACCCTTTGAATAAATTAACTGGATCTTTCATTGTCGAAGTTCATTTTTACCGATCCGCATTGCATATCTAAACCCAATGAAGAGTATAGATTGCCTTCTAAATCGTTAGATAGATGACACGCAATTCATTAAATATTTTATAATTATTGAATTTTATCTGTTTGCTTTAAGAAAATATAAACTTCAATTTCTAAAATGTTGGTTACTCGAGTTAATTCCATTTTTAGTATAAAACGCTATCTTATTTCTAAAATTTAGATAGCATTCACTACATCACCAGTAGTATATGACCCCCATATGGCCCACCACTTAAAAAATCCATCGTTACCATGGTAACCACACCCCATGATACATTTTTCTCGCTTTCTTATTTTCCCTATTTTTCTTATATTCCTGTTCTAAAGGATATGATATAGATGTTAATCTGTAATAATAAAAATAAAAATTCGCTATTAACTGGCATGTACATATTATTTATATAATCTAAATTATCCATTTTTTCATCTCGTAATACCTGATTTCAAACATTATACTAAGAGAATAGAATTTAAAAGATTATGAAAAATTACAAGAACAAAAGTGATGTTTATGATACGAAATAATCATTAATATTACCTTTGTTTATAATTTTAATTTCAAAGTAAAATATCCCACACTCTGAAGGGATTGGATGATTTGCTCGAACGATAGCAGCTTTATAGTCACCAGGATCTTGAAGTAAAAGCTTTTTTTAAATAAACTTTAGATGCCAATGATTACAGTAACACATTAAATATGTTCTGCGAGATTTCTCATTTTCATGTTACCTGTATAATTCACTTTAAGCCCACTTGAATATATGTCAATAAACAGTAATATATCTTTATATTCCATGCAGTCGGTAAAACAACATCATTGTATCAAGTTATTAATTATAAATCTCCCATTAGGTTAAAATTCAATCAGATTTTTCATTTAAATATCAGTGAACATATAAAAGTAATTTATAGATTTTGTACATGAATACAAGTATTTATTTTTTAATTCTACAGCTTTTTATAAAGTTCGAATGCTTTTCTCTCATTAACATAAATTTAATGCTAATAATTATACCCTATGTTAAAATATCCAAATGAATTCTTTTGATCTACTTTTTAATTTAAACAAAATCCAAATTTTTAATTTTAATCGAATAATATTAAAAGATTACAACCACCTGATCAAATTCTACGTAAATTTTTTGATTTAATTCTAGAAACATGTAGAATTGAAATAAAAAAATTTTCGTAAAATTTGGTCAGATAGTTGTCGAGAAAACTTCGCTCAAAGTTAATAGTTATTTTGATGGCAGATTTTTTATAAACTTAGGCAAAGTTTTCTTGACAAATATCTAACTAAGTTCAAAGTTTTCTTTTTATTTCAATTCTACATGTTCGTAGAATTAAAATATTTTCGTCAAGTTTGATCGGGTGGTTGGTTGTCAAGAAAACTTATTTACAAAGTTCTGTGCACTTCCGTGGTATCAATTCTATTTATGATTTAATGCGAATAAATAGAAAAATTTATCTCCGGCCAGCACGCTCTCTTCAAAAAAATTCTTGTCTACCTTTCTGGAATTTTATAGGATTCAAATTCTGTGATTCCGCAATATTCTCCACTTTTTTAGAATTCTGATATGGGGCCCCCACAGCAAAAGATGGGGATGGGCCAAAAATTTTTTTTAAAAAAAATTATCTTGAAGAATTGGATTGATTAGAATAATATTATTATAATATTAAAACATCGGATTTTTTGGCCCATCCCCTCTTGCTGTGGGAGGTCTCATATTCTGTTTTCTGTGAATCACAAAAAGTCATAGGCCCTGCACTCGTCTTATAACTATATATATATTATGATTTAGATAAGCTTTACTGTATATGAGTGACGCTAAGAGGAAATACTTCGGACTTTCAAATTTATTAATTATAGATTATTAAAAATAATTAAGAGTGCTGCCAAGGAAAAACCTGGAATTGTTAGAAACAGCTTATAAGAATTTGATATTGTCTGTTTCTAAAAGCGGAGTTTCCGAAAACTAAGAATTCTAGGTTTTCGCCTGGCAGCGCTCTTATTAGATTCAGCCTTCTGATGGTCACATATCATATATATTACCAATCAGATTTTCATGGGCTGAATCCAATAAATAATCAATGGACATTTTCCCTTGGCAGCACTTTATGTACTGCACAGTATAATTTTTTTTATTAAAATATACGTTAAAAGAGTTTAGGCACGCTTGAACGTACGTACGTACTTGGCCTAGTGAAAGACAAACACGGGACCTAATACAAAAATATACTTAAAAGGAAACTTTTAAAGAGCATACAGGTTTTAAATTTACCTTTATAAATACAGAAATAGACTAAAAATTTTGAGGTTATGAAGCCAGCATAAGAATTTAGCCAGCATTATCAAATACAGTAATACTGTACATGCCATATGTCTCCCTAAAGCAAAAAAATAATGGTTACTATCCAGTCTGTGTGACAAGTTGTCAAATGACTGGCATGTTTTAAATTACGATTACGTTATTTGACTTACGATTTTGAATTCAAAAATTAAGAAATGGATACACACTACCCTACTCGACCCGTAGATCGTGAAAAAGCAGAACATGAACTTGCTCTCACCATAAAAAAGGCCACAAGTTCTGATGAAACTGCTCCAAAACAGAAACATGTTCGAAGTGAGTACACAAAATTAGCTTAATCTTTCAATTATTTATTAAAGATCTGATTTTCAATCTATAGAGTGCATTGTATATACATGGGATTATCATACTTCGGAGTCGATTTGGACTGGACTCAAAGTTTTACCAATTTTAACCGACGAAGTGCAAACCTTTAAAGCCTTAATAACGGTACACAAAATTATCAGAGATGGTCACCCTTCCGTATGCATTATTTTCTGTTACTTCATTAATTGTTCTTTAAATGAGTGCTGCTGCCAAATAAAAACCTGTAAGTACTGATTTTAAATTTTTAAATGTTTCGGCCTTAAACTCACAGAAAGTATCTTATTTGAGTCCGATACGATAAAAATTTAAAAAACAGTACTTATGGATTTGGCAGCATTGAAATAAATATCAAATTAATTATTTGACTAATTGGCTGATGCTTATTATACGTATAATATTAAGGCTTTGAAAGAAGCATTAAATCAAACTAATTGGCTAGACTCTTGTTACCGTACCATCAATGGAGATGGTGTGCGAGGTATCGATTTCTTAGTTTTCTTTAAAATAATAATGTCACCAATGTAAAAAAGACAAATTAATTAATTAATAAATTATAGGTTATGGTGTACTTATTCGTGCTTATGTCGAATTTCTCAAGGCTAAACTGGATTATCATCGCCATCACCCGGAATTTAATGGAAATTTTGATTATGAAGATTATATTAGTTTAAAAAATGTGGACGACCCTAATGAAGGGTAATTGAACCCTAATTATCTTGTTTAATCAATTTACATTGAAATTGATTTCAATTATTTGACTTTAGATACGAGACTATCAGCGATTTAATGACTTTACAGGATCAAATTGATCAATTTCAAAAATTGGTTATTGCACAATTTCGAGGTTTATCAAATAACGAGTGTCGTATAGCTTCTCTCGTGCCATTAGTAGAGGAGAGCCATGGCATTTACAAATTTTTAACCAGTATGCTTCGAGCCATGCATAAACGTACTGATGCTATAGATGCACTAGCGCCTCTTAGAACACGATATAATGCTCAACATTATGCTCTATTGAAGTTCTATTATGATTGCTCTAATTTGAAATATTTGACGAGTTTAATTACCGTACCAAAACTACCACAGGTTTGTCAATTCAACATTATAAAATTGTCTTGTTAATGTAATAATGTAGTTAATATAATTACGTTTACTTTAATATAAAGGATCCCCCTACTCTGATCGACAGTAGTGTGCCACCTGTACCAAAACGTCCCCAATCAAAGTCACCCGCGCCATCTTCTTATGCAGAACCTGAACCTATAACAGAATTCTGGAAAGAAAGTGAGGCTCAAAAGCAAGAACTAGAGAGGCAAAAACAATTATACGAAGAGCAACAAAGGCAACTTACACAACAACGTGAACTTGAGCTTCAAAGACAGCGTGTGATGGAAATGCAACGGCAGAGGGAAATAGAAGAACAACAACGATTGCAGCAGGAAAGGGAAAGATTGGCCAGAGAACAGTTGCTTAGTGAACAAATACAAAGGCAAGCTGAAGGAAGACTTGCTGAATTGGAAAGAGAACTTTTAAACAAAAAAAGTCAGGTTGAACGCGATCAAATGATGTTGGAGCAATATGACAGAGTATAATAAGATCTTTTATTATATATATATATATTGACAAACAGATTAATCTTCTTTTATGATACATGTGATTTAGAGGGTTAAGGCTCTCGAGAATGAAATGAGTAAATTAAATTTGAATGCACAACAACAGATTAGGTCCAAGGACGAAATGATTAAAAATTTACAAGGTTGGTTTACATATATTAAATCCGATTAAGTGCAATAATATTTAATTATAAACATTTTCATTCACTTAAAGATCAAATCCTAATGTGGAGGAATAAATACGAAGCTCTTGCTAAACTCTATTCACAATTACGTCAGGAACATCTTGATCTTATTAACAAGTTCAAAGCCGCTCAGCTCAAAGCAAATTCTGCACAAGAAGCAATTGACAAGATGGAAAGAATGGAGCGTGATATGCGTTCTAAGAACCTAGAGTTGGCAGACATGATAAGAGAGAGAGATCGTGCAAGACATGAATTGGATCGATTAAAGAGTGTATGATCTTTAGTTTTCATATTATATAGATTTTTTTTCAGCAATTGCCTTGATATAGTATATTCTGCATCACACTTTTGACTTTATGATGATATTTATATTTTTTGTTAGAGTCAACGTGAAGATTTAGAGAGGGTCAGACGCGAACTTACAGAAGCGAATGCTAAAGTTGATGAGCTTTCTCGTTCAAAGAACAATGAAATTAGTTCCTTGATGTCTAAATTTAACAAAGAAAAACAGGAATTGGAAGATTCGATAAGAGTATATATCTATAATTATGTTTTTATTATATAGCATAATTTATTTCCTAAGGATTATAATTAAATGTTACTTATGAAATTTATCTTCATAGTCCAAGCAATTATATGTCGATGATTTATTGAGACAATTGGAAAGCAAGAAACATGAAATCGAGCAAGTGACACAGGTTAGCTGTTCTTAGTATACATACCATTGATTTATGTACGCTAATTTTTTCGTTCAAGTACGCTAGTTTATGATATATGTTCATCAAATTGAAAGTAATAAATAACTTTGAAATTGAAATAGGCAAAAGATGAAGAAATTGCAATAATGCAATCTGCAATGGATCAAAGTATGATGCTCGTAGCGCAAATGCAACAGGTTTAGTATCGAGTAAATTAATATATTTATTGTCGTGGATCATAATGAAATCTGATTAAAATTAAATGAGGATTTCTATTTAACCCTCTAAAACCCATTTATACTTGTTTACTATAAACTATACCTTAAAACAAACCTCTAACCTAATCCCTAACCTAAAAAAAGCACCTCAAAAATTTTTATTTTTCGATGGCTTGTCTATTTTTTACATTGTACAATATTTCGTTTTAATCCGATTTCATTTTAACCGTCACATTTATTGTATGAAACATAATATTCACATATATATTCGCTCTAATTGGAATATTTTCGTGAATTAAACCATATATAGTCCACATCAGAATCAGAAAAATATCAAGTTAAACTTGATAATGTGATGCTTGACAACATCAGAAACTTAAATGATATTCTTGGTATGTTAATCTTCGATCCTATAAAGTATTTAATAATACAATATTTGGGTATAATGATTTCTAATAAATCTTACAATTACAGACAGTATATTTCAAACATGTATTCAAAAGATTGATGATAGTTTGTATGAATTGGAATCTCCAATGCAAACTGGCAATCAAAATTCAACCCCAGAATATACCTTATCAATGATAGAGAAGGCAACAACTGAGACTTCGGAATTCTCTTCTTCTCTTAAAAAATTTTTACAAAGCAATCGGACAAAAGATCATACTGAAGTGATCAAGTCTGCTACAAATTTCTCACAAGCAATTTCCGAAGTGCTGGTAAATGCCAAAGGTACTATACGTCTTGCAGACGAAGATGATGAAATAACAGATGAAATTATCGGGGCTTCCAAAATGGCTGCAAATATATCTCAACAGTTCTTATTGAATGTGCAATCGTTCAAGCTCGACAATTTGTCAGAATCACAAAGAATTGAGTTAGTATTGCAAAGTGATAAGAATGTTCAAAATGCTCTGCAAAAGGTCTCTAAAGTAGTCGAAGGTATGTTGAGACATAATCTAGATGTTACTAACAAGGCCGATGGTGAAATTGGCAATTTAGTAGAACAGGAGATGATGAATGCAGCCAAAGTAATTGAGGCAGCCACTGCAAGAATTCAAGCTTTGATGTTACGACCACGAGATACTGGGCTCTCTGCCACTGAACTTAACGTGCATGATGCAATCCTAGAATCTGCATTGGCTGTCACTAATGCTATTGCAAATTTAATACGGTGCGCTACTGCTTCCCAACAGGAAATTGTTGCACAAGGACGTGGCTTGAGTAGTACTGCTGCTTTTTACAAAAAGAACAATAGATGGACGGAGGGTCTTATCTCCGCAGCAAAAGCCATTGCAGTTGCCACAAATCTTCTCATAGAAATTGCTGATGGGGTCATTCACGGCACTCGTTCTCTTGAACAACTTATTGTCGCTTCAAATGAGGTTGCAGCTGCAACAGCACAGCTTGTAGCAGCTTCAAGAGTTAAAGCAGATTTTATGTCAAAGACACAGGATCGGCTGGAGACAGCATCCAAAGCCGTCACTGAAGCCTGTAAAGCTCTTGTAAAAGCCGTGAAAGCTATTGCAGCTAAACAAATGGAGGGAGAACAAATTAACTACTTTGAACTGACCCCTCATGATTTTAAGGTCAAAGAGATGGAGCAACAAGTGGAGATATTGAAACTTGAGAAAGAATTAACCAATGCTCGAAGAAAATTGGCAGAAATGAGGAAGCATGGATATCATGATGAGGATGATGATTAAGTTTTCTAGTAATTTTCATACATATTTATATTATACAGTATATATTGTAATTTGATTTAAGGTATATCAAACTATAATAAATTATGGTTTTTAATAAAAAAAAATCGTAATATTCATTGCCTTGCTTAAACCGGTAATTTTTATAAAAAATAAAAATATACAAAAACAGACTATTAGTTCAATAACATTTTATGCCCCAATTTATTGTTACCTTATCTCTTAATCCGTATTTCAGGCAAATTTGCCTGGAATTTTAAAAAGTATTTACAATTTTTTAAAATAAAATTAAAAATTAATAATAATATGGGGTATATTTTATGGACTGGACTAGTTGGTGCCCCATGCACTTTGTGCCCCTCTATTATAAAATTGTTAATATCTCAAAATTTTACTAGGGTAACCCCTGTTTTGCAACTAAGCGAAAATGTTCCTCTCACAATTTTACACTAAAAACTAATCCTAAACTAACCCTAAACTAACCCTAACTAACCCTAACCTAACCCTAATCTAAAATTATAAAATTGCTAATATCTCAAAATTTTACTAAGATAACCCTCTATTGTGTAACTAAGCAAAAATGTTTCTCTCGCAATTTTACATATTTTTGCTAATCTTAATTTTTATTATAGGCTAAATTTTTGCTAAGAGGCACAAATTGCATAGGGGCACCATTTAGATTTTATTTTATTTTTTTTTTTTAATATTAAGGTGACCACTTAGGCCCTTGGCACTTTATTAGTACAAGTGGTAGGCCAATGTTAATTTTTAACACCGGCTTTACATGTTACATCAGTATCACGAGAGTACAACTAGTCACACGTACAACTTTTGATTGCCTAT